TTTAAGTCACAATAAATTGAACATTCAACAAATAAAGTTCTTAAACTGACTCTACAACTATAAAGTTGACTGCAGGGAATAAATCGGAAGTATAAATATAATAAGTATAAATGTATTTCATCAATACTTCTATTAGGAACTTCAGACTACCACTACCATTTTATTCTACTTTACTTTAACGGGTTAAATTTCTTGATATAAAAACTTTGAGAGCAAAAAAAGTATTTTTTCCACCTTGTTCCGCCCTCCCTACCAATAATAAAAATTAATAAATTATTTTAACTATTTCTAAAACAGAAAGAGTAACAGACTGCTTGCGAAAAGCCTTGTGATACTGATCAACGGTCTAAAATGTCATACATAGTCTTATAAAAATATATTGTATTATTGTGAAAAATAAATTTGGCTTCCTAGGTATATGATGAAGAAAATAAACAATTTTTGACAACCAAATTAATTTACTGGCCCACTGTGCAGAACACCGGCCATTGCTACAATGCATTGATAACTCAATCTCTCTCTCACGCACTACGGCCATTTTAAGACAAACAAGATAGGAAGCAAATTTCGGCAAGCCGATGTTTATATACTCTTGCAGCTATTGCCAAATATTCTGGAAAGTTTCGCTTAATATACGTATGTATATGTATAAAACATTGCGGCTATGATGAAGTAATTTTCAATTATTCGATCCTTCTTATGGGAGGTATATTATATCGTTTTGCGATTTGAACTGTAAAATTTTTACTATTTTCAAAAGAATTTGTTACAAAGATTAAAATATAGATATAGATAGATATATATTTTTTTAAATTTATTTTTTTAATATTCCGATTGTTTCTATGGGAGCTATATGCTATAGTCGTCAGATCACGAAGATAACCTTAAAACTGAGAGACAAGTTTTCGTATATATATATGTGAGTATGTACGCCTTTGCCAAAAACCCGGCTGCAAAGAAAATGCACATGTGACTTATAAAAATGCATACCAGAAATTTCAGCACCTTTTTTCTTCAATAAGTGCAGCTGTAATATATAGAAACACACACACATACAGTCACTAGTGCATTTTTTGCCGGACAGCACAGACACTCACACGCACAACAGAGATTCCCAACCCCACCGCGATAGCGGCGCCAACTCAAACGGGGCCCTGGGGACCGAGTCGGAGCGGTATAGCTCCCATCAGGCATCAGCCGGGAAATCCCGGTTCACCGAGGGACCTCCAACTGGTGCAGGCGATGGATAAGGTGAAAGGGCCCGGACATGACAAGGCCCAGGCCCTTGCAGTTGCCAGGGCGGAGGAAGAGCTGCTAAGGAAGTTCCAGATGATGAAGCAGAAGGTGCCGCGGTCTCCTACGGGGATAGAGCAGACTTCCGAGGCTCACACAGTGTCAGCGCCCCCTAAAGTAGCTGGACCAATTCTTCAACTTCAGCAGAAATGTGGACGATCAAACCACGCCGAAGAGAAGCCGGGAAGCAACCAGCCCTGAAGAGGCCATCGATGGAGTCCAGAAGAAGCAGCGGGTCCAGAAAAGCGCCACAGCCCTCACCGATGAGCTGGGTAAGATGCTCGACGAAATGATCGCGAAATTTACTGACACGAAGAGTAACAACCAGAAGGTTGTCCGTCATGTCACCCAGGCCACGATCGACTCACTGCAGGCTATGAAAAAAGCTGCAAAGCGAGATTAGTGCGACGCTGGACGAAACTCACGCCAGGGCTCCGACCGCCTGCGCAGCCCAGCAGACAACGCCATCGATGGTTGGCCCAGGACAAGAAGCCGCTAGCACAGAGAGGGTGCATGCTGGCACAGGGACCCAGATGAGAAACCCTGGCTGGCAGCAGGTTAGGCGCAAAACCAAGAAGCCCCGCGTGACTGTCGAGAATATCAGTGAAAGCGAAGACCACGCGAGACTCACCGTGAATCGGAAGAGCTAGCGCCCTGACGCTATCCTGATCAAATGCAGCGAAGGATCGTACGCAGACATGCTCAAGTTGGTTAAAACCGAGCCTACCCTCCTGGGGCTTAAGGATGGGGTGCAAGGCATACGCAGGACAGCCAATGGGAGCCTGCTACTCAAGATGCAGAAACCCTCAGACCCAGCCACGCAGCAACTGCATACAGCCATGAAGTCCGTCTTCGGCGGCAAAGCCGAAGTGGCTATATTGGAAGACTCGGTACAGGTGGAAATTCGCGACCTGGACGAGATGACCACCTGCGAGGAGGTACTACAGGCAGTCTACGCTGAGGAGGAATGCGATATCCCGGCGGGTGCTGCACCTAGGATGCGAAAGGCCTATGGCGGAACCCAAACGGCGACGGTTCACCTCAGACGAGAGCATGCACAGCGGATCCTTGACAAGGGGAAAATCAGGGTAGGATGGGTAATCGGCCGCATAAGGCAGAAAATGGAGCCCAGGCGATGCTACAAATGCATGGGTATAGGCCACATGTCTGCTAGATGCTCAGCGTCGGAGGCAACAGCCAAAAACACGCAGGAATCCTGCTTCAGATGTGGCAAGGATGGTCACAAGTACAGAACTTGTACTCAGGGCAAACCGAAATACATAATTTGCACGAGACGAGGAATAACTGGAGGAGAGGCCGAACACTCGACCCTCAGTAGGTTGTGTACTGAGTACCGGAAAGCTCTGAACTGTATACAACATGGTTAAGGTTCTACAGATTAACCTAAACCACTGCAGAGCGGCGCAGGACCTACTAACCCAGACGGCAAACGAACAACAGGCTGATGTGGCAATAATCAGCGAGCCCTATAAGGCCAAACACGAAGGCGTATGGCAACATAGTGCGGACGGCAGAGCAGCGATTTGGAGTTGCGGGCAGCCTTCTGGACACCTATCGCAAAGGGCATCCAGAGGGGGATACACCAGAGCGATGTTCACAGGCCTAACAATCTACAGCTGCTACATTGCCCCGAGCGTACGCAATAGCGAGTTCAGAGCAATAATGCAGGAGATCGCTGACGACGCACGCGGCAGGTCACCAATCCTCATCGCAGGTGATTTCAGCGCATGGTCCACAACATGGGGCAGCGCTAGTACGACACAGCGGGGAACCATCCTTCTTGAGGCGTTGGCTTCGTTAAATGTTTGCCTACTCAACGAAGGGAACAGGCCAACCTTTAGCAAGTCAGGCCGGGAATCGATTATCGATTTGACCTTCGCCAGCACGTACCTGCGCATGGAGGGTGTCAGACATCTACACTCACAGCGACCACGCGCTGATCATCACCCAGACAAGACAAAGAGCTTAGCCGACAGAGTTAAGGCGGCGTAAGATGCCTCCATGGGAAAAGCCATGAAAGGTGGTAATGGGCGTAGATCAGTTCCGTGGTGGAACGAGGAGATAGACGGAGCAAGGGGAGACTGCCTAGCGGCCCGACGCAGGTGTCAGAGAAGCAGAGGACGCGGAAACCAAGAGCTGAGCGAAGCAACCTATAGGGCCAAGAGAAAGGTGCTGAAAAATGCGATCAAAGCCAGCAAGGCCAGATGCTTCCAGGAGCTGTGCGAAGCTGCGGATGCAGAACCATTCGGCTCAGCTCAACAGGCAGCCGACCCCTACTGACCACTTGCAGCTTGGCAACATAGTGGCTACCTTGTTCCCCACACAGCCGCCGCTTACCTGGCAAGCCACCGGATTAGGCGATACTGTACTGACCAGCGAAGTCGAAGTACTGGCAGCATTAAGGAAAACCAAGGCTGGAAAAGCCCCTGGTCCGGATGGCATTCCCAATGCTGCACTGCACACAATAGTGGCAGCTTACCCGGATATATTCGCGGAAATGTACAACAAGTGTCTCATCCAACGAACCTTCCCCACAGGATGGAAGCGGCAGAGATTAGTGCTCATCCCAAAACCGGGAAAGATGAACGATGACGCATCGTCATCGATGGGTAGATATTTGAGCGCATAATTTGCACCCGCCTCGAAAAGGAACTCGACGATCTCGGAGCTTTCTCGGACCACCAGTTTGGTTTCCGGAAGGAAAAAAACACCATTGACGCGATCCGAGCGGTCACCCAACTGGCTGCTAATGCAATTGAAGGAGAAAGGTGGTACTGCCTCGTATGCACCCTGGATGTCAAGAATGCATTTAACTCTGCCAACTGGAACCTTATCCTGCGAGCGCTTCGGCTAATGGTAATTTCTGACTACCTTACCGACCTCGTAGCGGACTACTTCAAGGACAGAGTGCTCACATACTCTTCAGACGTCGGAGAGCATAAGTAACAGGTGACAGGAGGAGTACCTCAAGGCTCAGTCCTGGGCCCGATTCTGTGGAACGCGATGTACGACGGGATCCTAAGGCAGGCACTACCCGAAGGATGCACCGTAGTGGGCTTTGCGGACGACATAGCGCTGGTAACAGTAGCGAAAACCCTCGAAGAGGCCATGGGAAGGTGCAGCCTCTCGATAGACACCCTTATGAGCTGGCTCGCAGACAACGGGCTATCGCTTGCCGATCACAAAACGGAGGCAGTGCTCATAAGCAGCAGAAGGATTGTTGAGAAAGCAACAATTCGAGTCGGGTAAACTAAGATAGTAACAAGCGACTCAATCAACTCGACCATCCTGTACGCCGCGCCCATATGGGCCGAGGCTATGAAGACCGCAACATATAGTCGCCAGTGCAAAACTGTCTACAGACGCTGCGCACTGCGCATCACAAGCAGCTTCTGCACGGTATCAGAGGAAGCCGCACTAGTGATAGCCGGTACAATACCGATAGACCTCCTGGCGGCAGAACGAAGGACAGGATGTACAGGAAGTAGGACCCAGCGCAGCAGCACGATAGAGGCTTGGCAAAGGAGGTGGAACAGTTCGAGCACAGGGTGGTGGACGCACAGGTTAATCCCCAGTCTAATCCCCTGGCTGCAGAGAAGACACGGGCAGGTAGATTTCTACCTCACACAGATAATCTCCGGGCACGGATGCTATAAAGATTACCTGTACAGGTTCAAGCACGAGCCGAACCCCTGCTGCGACCACTGCGGCACCGCAAGCATCGAAGACGCGGAGCACGCATTCTTCATCTGCCCCCTATACGAATTAAGAACCGAGCGTTTCCTGACAGTGGATAATATAATCAATTGCATGCTGGAAAACCAAAGGAACTGGGATGCGGTAGCTAATCTGGCCGCTGGCATCCTAAAGGACTTAAGGCGTCGAGAACAGAGTCGACGCAACCAGCAATAAGGACGAGCGGCAACCTGACCGCCATCCGTCCCGCGAAGTATAGCTTTGCGGCGGTCCCGCGGGAACGGAACTTTTCTACTTCTTCTTCTTCTGTCTTTTGTATCTCTCCTGTATATATTTAAGCTTTTCTTAATAATAAAAAAAAAAAACACAGATGTTTAAATGTTACTAAGACAATAACTTCTTTAGCTTATTAATTTCAATTATTTATTAAGTTTAAAAACACTACTCACTTTTTCTCCTCCGTACTCCTCTTGCAAATTACACAATTATTTCGACTGACCGAAAAACAAGCAATGCGAAAGTCGTGCAAGCGGGACAACACGTTTAGAATTCGGAAGCTTTCATTTCGTAAGTGTCCTTCTCCCTCTAACTTATTGGATTTTTGTAGCCATCTTGCATGATTCTCTCTTTTTCGGTTTGAGAGAACTTTCAAAGAGAGAGAATTGAAAAAATACCAATTTCTAACATCATATGTACAATGTTTTCAATGGCTAAAATAAAAATTTCTGGTAAATACCAAATTGAGCAGTCGTTATTAAATTAAACTTAAGGATTCTTTTGTGTAACACATCCACAGCTGCTTGCAATATTGTTCGTTTGAATTATAGTTCTGTAGTAGTTTTTGGTGCAACTGTTTGTTTCTAACCACATTTTTTCTTACGACTGGGGTCAACCTGTGACCGTGTGTTTTATGTTTGCTTAATACTGTCGATACGAAGGCTAATACTTTGACATACTTTCGTACGTACCAAGTAAAGTACTTCGTACTTTACTGCTAGCTTTGCACCAAGCCCGAGTGCTGATTTGGATAATGGATGCTAACGAATACATCGACTCACATGCTGCCGCTGATAACAGTAAAACTTGAGCATAGATATACATATGTTCTGCGGTTTCTGCCGGCTTTTTTGTTGAACGCAATTGCGAGACCTAAGCATTTAAGTCACAATAAATTGAACATTCAACAAATAAAGTTCTTAAACTGACTCACAACTATAAAGTTGACTGCAGGGAATAAATCGGGAGTATAAATATAATAAGTATAAATGTATTTCATCAATACTTCTATTAGGAACTTCAGACTACCACTACCATTTTATTCTACTTTACTTTAACGGGTTAAATTTCTTGATATAAAAACTTTGAGAGCAAAAAAAAGTATTTTTTCCACCTTGTTCCGCCCTCCCCCTACCAATAATAAAAATTAATAAATTATTTTAACTATTTCTAAAACAGAAAGAGTAACAGACTGATTGCGAAAAGCCTTGTGATACTGATCAACGGTCTAAAATGTCATACATAGTCTTATAAAAATATATTGTATTATTGTGAAAATAAATTTGGCTTCCTAGGTATATGATGAAGAAAATAAACAATTTTTGACAACCAAATTAATTTACTGGCCCACTGTGCAGAACACCGGCCATTGCTACAATGCATTGATAACTCAATCTCTCTCTCACGCACTACGGCCATTTTAAGACAAACAAGATAGGAAGCAAATTTCGGCAAGCCGATGTTTATATACTCTTGCAGCTATTGCCAAATATTCTGGAAAGTTTCGCTTAATATACGTATGTATATGTTTAAAACATTGCAGCTATGATGATTTAATTTTCAATTATTCGATCCTTCTTATGGGAGGTATATTATATCGTTTTGCGATTTGAACTGTAAAATTATTACTATTTTCAAAAGAATTTGTTACAAAGATTAAAATATAGATATAGATAGATATATATTTTTTTTAAATTTATTTTTTTAATATTCCGATTGTTTCTATGGGAGCTATATGCTATAGTCGTCAGATCACGAAGATAACCTTAAAACTGAGAGACAAGTTTTCGTAGTGACGGACGGGCGGACCGACGGACATACGGACGGACAGACGGACATGGTTAGATCGACTGTTGTAGTGATGCTGATCAAGAATATTTATACTTTATATAGGCTCGGAGATGACTCCTTCACTACGTTGCAAGCTTCTGACCCAAATTATAGTACCCTCTGCAGAGTATAAAAAACAATGGTGGCTCACCGCCGTTTGCAATATTGAAGGTAAACTTTATCGTCTACATGAGCTGTGTAAAAAACAGAGCTGTTCCTATAAAATCTTTAAAACATAATGCTAATAAATACAATCTTATAACATCAAATAAGAAATGCAACCAAAACTTTTTTTTTCGATTTCTTAAAAGTAGTGCCAACTTAAAAATATTTTACATCACAAGTTTTGAAAAATCTAATGAAATATCGGTTTAGTAGCATTAATTTTACAGCATTAACATTATTGTTTTGACATAAAATGCTTTAAGAAATATATTTTTTTATTGGCTTTACTTTTGAGAAATCTAATGAAATATATTATCAGTAGCATTACTTTTTGACAATCTTATGACAATTTGTTTTTCTGTGTCGATCGATAAGGGCCGAATAATCATATATTGCTCAAAAAAGTAGCTGCCATATTTTTAATTAATAACATTTTATTTGGACGTTGATGTGGTCGTTGCAAGGTTTTAAAAAAAACTTCAGCGCATGTTGTAGACTTAATAAGAAGGTTAAATTGAAAATATATGTATATAGCATTTATACATAGTTTCTGAGATCTCGATCCGGGTCGAAAACTCTTCTTCTTTTTTGTCTTTACATATATTATATGTAGTTTTAGAAATAAAAAACTAAAAAATTAAAAGATTTATCTTAAAAAAAATGTATTCTCCCTAAGTATATTTTTGAAAAGATTTTGTTCTAACAAAAAAATTACTGACGCACTGTGCAGAACACCGGCCATTATTATTTACGTTTGCGTCAATGTGTTGATAGCACCATCTCTCTCTAATTCATTACGCTTGTTTAACTAAAAAAAATGGTGACTCACCGCCATTTGCGTTTTTTTAGTGTCAAAATTTTATAAATTTTGGTTTGCATATTGAAAATTTATTTTAATGTTTTTTGTTTTTTGCAAAAACGCTACCTTTTAAATTTTATTTGACTTTGTTTGTTGGCGACCTTTTGTTTATTAATTTAAATTTTTGAGGGCCAAGGTTTTTTTGATAAAGAATAAATAAATATTTCTGATATATTTCGACTGCAATTCGGCAACCTTCTTTAGGGCGGCACCTGCATTCGCGTGAATGTATAACCACAGTCTGCAAACTAAATTTGCAAAATAATAAATCTAATATCTTTAATTCCGCGTCGCGGTGTTTGTGGTTAAACAATTTTTGACAACCAAATTAATTTACTGGCCCACTGTGCAGAACACCGGCCATTGCTACAATGCATTGATAACTCAATCTCTCTCACGCACTACGGCCATTTTAAGACAAACAAGATAGGAAGCAATTTTCGGCAAGCCGATGTTTATATACTCTTGCAGCTATTGCCAAATATTCTGAAAGTTTCGCTTAATATACGTATGTATATGTATAAAACATTGCGGCTATGATGAAGTAATTTTCAATTATTCGATCCTTCTTATGGGAGGTATATTATATCGTTTTGCGATTTGAACTGTAAAATTTTACTATTTTCAAAAGAATTTGTTACAAAGATTAAAATATAGATATAGATAGATATATATTTTTTTAAAATTTATTTTTTAATATTCCGATTGTTTCTATGGGAGCTATATGCTATAGTCGTCAGATCACGAAGATAACCTTAAAACTGAGAGACAAGTTTTCGTAGTGACGGACGGGCGGACCGACAGACATACGGACGGACAGACGGTCATGGTTAGATCGACTGTTGTTGTGATGCTGATCAAGAATATATATACTTTATAGGCTCGGAGATGACTCCTTCACTACGTTGCAAGCTTCTGACCCAAATTATAGTACCCTCTGCAGAGTATAAAACAATGGTGGCTCACCGCCATTTGCAATATTGAAGGTAGACTTTATCGTCTACATGAGCTGTGTAAAAACAGAGCTGTTCCTATAAAATCTTTAAAACATAATGCTAATAAATACAATCTTATAACATCAAATAAGAAATGCAACCATAACTTTTTTTTCGATTTCTTAAAAGTAGTGCCAACTTAAAAATATTTTACATCACAAGTTTTGAAAAATCTAATGAAATATCGGTTTAGTAGCATTCATTTTACAGCATTAACATTATTGTTTTGACATAAAATGCTTTAGGAATTTTATTTTTTTATTGGCTTTTACTTTTGAGAAATCTAATGAAATATATTATCAGTAGCATTACTTTTTTGACAATCTTATGACAATTTGTTTTCTGTGTCGATCGATAAGGGCCGAATAATCATATATTGCACAGAAAAGTAACTGCCATAGTTTTAAATAATAACGTTAATGTTGTAGACTTAATTAGAAGGTTAAATTAAAAAATTCACTTAATAAGAAAAAATATATTTAGCATTTATAGTTTCTGAGATCTCGATCAGGTTCGAAAACGTCTTCTTTTTTGTCTTTACATATCATACATAACATATGTAGTTTTAGAAATATAAAAACTAAAAAATTAAAAGATTAATCTTGAAAAAAATGTATTCTCCCTAAGTTTATTTGAAGAGATTTTTGCTAACAAAAAAATTAATGGCGCACTGTGCAGAACACCGGCCATTATTATTTACGTTTGCGTCAATGTGTTGATAGCACCATCTCTCTCTAACTCATTACGCTTGTTTAACAAAAAAAAAAAAATTTGCAAAATAATAAATCTAATATCTTTAATTCCGCGTCGCGGTGTTTGTGGTTAAACAATTCTAGCAGAGAAAAGAGGACTCGATAGGTATGTGTCATAATGGGTCCAAAGATTAAAGAAACACTCTAACTTAAATACTTATAAAGTTCTTATAACCTGTGCAGAATTTGTTAACCAAGAGTGTATCGAGTTGTTAAGGCATGACAGCTTTGTAATGAATTTGGTGTATACAAAATACTTCTAAAAAAGAATGGGAACAAAATTAAGTAAAGAGCACTACTACCAACAAATATTAATATAATATCTAATAAATCGAATTC